TGCGCCGGGCCAACATAGTAAACCTTGATTGTAACTGATGAGGGGTAGAAAATCGGCCGAAACGTTTCTGGCCCGAATGCAGGGGCAAAAAATGATAGATACACCGTCGAGATTATATCCCACGACTCCCTCTCTCTTCTTTCTCTTTGACCCTCTCCGATCGTCGCTCCGCTGGCTCGCCTTTGAATTCAGCCCGGGAAACAAACCTCCGACTCATTCGCTCGCTCGCTCGCAACGCGCCGATAATTTCACCCTGACAGTAACATGTTAGGTCCGCGAGGCCTACACGCATTTTCTTTCGCTAACTCCCTTTTCCACGTTTCGTGCAAGACACTACACCCCACTTCTATTCCTCTATTACTCAGAAAAAAAGGCCACTGTTCTCAATTATTAGTCTGATCGAATAAGATAATTCCTGGCGGCAAGCGACCTACAGAAACAAGAAAAAAATTGGTAGCTTAACCCTTGCAAGAAAAGGAGTGGTAAAACACGAACAAAAAGGCGGGACCGTGAGTGACTGGAGATGTTGAGATATCGCTGATACAATAATACCGGCATCGATATCTTCCCTTCAATAATAAAAATGATTGTACCGTAGCCTCGAATTTGCGAGAATGGTACAACGTCGGCCGTGTACGTTGACGACGAATTACTTGGCACACACGATCACTTACTTCGTCCCAGTTGACCTCGCATCCGACATCGTGGACAAAGCGCGCGATCCCGTGTAATTCCCGTGAGCGGGATGAAAATTCCAGCGGCCCTCTCTCGTGTATCTCCGGGTATCCCTTTAATCCGGATATCCGTGTCTCGCGGCAAGAATCATCAACGTGATACGCACACACGCGACTCACCGGCGGATCGCCGTTTCCCCAATTTGTTAATTACCTCGCGCGGCTACCTGGCCGGTATCCGTCGACCGCAACTTCGTAGGCCGTCTCCCATGGCCCGCGGTCAAGAGAGAACTGATACGCGCTCCGTGTGAGTATGCATGTGTGCGTGTATATATACGCTCGATCCTTTCATCACGCCTGCAAAATCCGCTGTTCGCGATATTTAACACCTTCTCTCTGCGTGCAAATCGCGATGTTCGATCATCGTGCGCGACGATTTCTTTTCCGCGCAAGACAGCTACTTTTTTCACTTCATTTTTTTTTTCTGTTTACAAAGGAAACGCGAAGAAAAAGAAGCTCGGTGGCGTGATTTGATAAGGAGCGTACGAAACGAGGGAGTACCGTCGGAAAAACCCGTCAGTTTTAATTACGCATTCAGCCGACTGTTTTAAACATTAACGCGTAATTAGGAAACAAATTAGCGATAACGCGAGTTATTAACTCGTCCACCGACCATTGATAACACCTAATTATGCATATACAAGTAACGCCGTCGTAGGAAAGAGAGACGCCCGTTCTCTCGTCTCCCGTAATCTATTCTCCCTATCAAACCATCAACACAAAACATAACTGCTCATTAAGTACCCATGCGCCGGCGGCAATTAAAATCTCGCATACGCGCGACTCCCGGAAATGCGTAAAGCAATCTTCAGGCGCGCCGGATTGCCTCCTCAAGGTAAAAGCGGAAGAAGAGGCAGGTGCGCGTGTCCTTGGCCGTCCGAGGATTCATCGTCGCGGCGCACACGCCAATCTTTTACGTCTCGTTACGTCCCGCCGTACGTGCCGATGTATCCGTTTCCGACGTCAAACGAGAGTTGAACGGGGCGATTCACGGAATCTTCACGCCAGTTAATGCGACGCGGGCGAGAATAACACGGACGTTCCGCGGCTTTTACGCCGCTGTTCCGAGCGTGAAAATTGTCGCGCGGGCGCTTTCGGGATGGCCGACGCATGATATTGAAGCGATGTCGGGCCACTATTAGCCGGGTTTTATTGGTACACGAGCCAGCCGTGTGCCGGCTGACCTACGACCGCCAACAGTTAATCAATGCTTTTATGAGCATTCGCTTGGCAGTACACCGTCGTTTCAAGCCGCGGTCCACCCCCGCCCGATCAACCGACCACCCCGCCGCCCACTCACTCGCCCAACGAGCGCGACACGCTTTCCCCCTCTCTCTCTTCGCGTGTGCTCTTCGAGCAGCTACCCGAAATTTACCACGAGGCGCCGCTATCCGTTAAACGCGAGCGAACGAGTACGCCGGTCGACATAATGTATTAGTTATAACGCGGCCGTCGTGGATGTGGAGATCGAGTTCATTGTACGATCACGTGGCGAGCGCGCGCGTCGAAAGAGTCGGGAATTTATCGACGGTAAATTCGGTCGCATTCCGGCTAATGCTCATCATATTCGGCCGATTGCGAGCGGAACGGATAATTGACTTAGTTCGCGCGCTAATAAACAATTCGATATGCATTAGGTCGTGTAACATAAATTGCGCCGGGTCAATTTGATTAATGATACGCCGTCGTGATCGCGGCATCGAATGATTAGGGCGAAATCCCATTAGCTATTTCGATTCCTGGAAATTGCGGCCTTACGTTGTCTTCGGCGCGATCGATTTAAGGGATGGCCGGATGAGCTTGCAATCCAAACCGTGGGCTTCAGCTAAACAGCCGCTTTTAAGACCCTCGCCATCGCTCTGCCCCCCCTCTTTCTCTCTCCCTTTCTCTTTGCCCTCTCACTCGCACCGTCTGTCCGGCTCACCCACGGCTATTTATTTTTCTCATCGCTTTTAATTTCGTAGAGATAACATAGATGCGTATCGGCCGATAGTGCTGGTGCGCGTACACATGCACGCGCGCACACACGCATATAGTCCAGCCAGCCATTGTGCGCCGCGCTCCCGAATGGATGTTTCGCGCCCGCTATCGCGATCGGATCTCGCTTGTTGAGTTTATTAATTGCGTTATGGGAAGTGCCGCGTTCACCGGGCGAAATTGAAAAAAATTGTCCGCTCGCGCGCCGCGCGCTGACCTCGGCGAGATTTTATCTCACTCTTTTTGCGCCACGCTTTCTTTCGCAAAAAAAGCTCCGTCGCGATTTTGATAAAACTACGCGCGCAGTTTTACCAGGCCTTTTATAATTCGTCGCGCGACGATCGTATATTTTAGGCGAGCGGATCGGTGGATGCGAGCGAGGTGCCGGGGCGGAGGCGACGAGAGGCGCTGCGGGGGACTGGCTCCAATCGTAAAACAATTATACAATTACCGCACGGCCGTAATTAATTGCCGGCCGTTTCAACGTTTACCCCGACGAGCGGCGAGAGAGCGCATAGCGGCCGGCTGCGCGAACGCCGCGGCATTAATTCATTAACGTTGCACCGTGAAACGTATTTGCCCGTAAAATTGGTCGGCCGGCGTGTTCGCGATTATTTGCTTAAACAATTTCCGAACGTCGATCGACGCCGCCGCCGTATGACGTGATTTAACGATTTCCTTCTCTCGACGTCGACGGCAATAACGTTCCCGGTCTCTCACTCGCACTCTCTCTCTCCCGCTCCCTTTCGCCCATCTATCCGTTCCTCTCCTCGCTCACTCTCTCTGTCCCCCGATGATAATATATATCTGCGAAATAAGCGCATCCCAACGGACACCCTTCAAAGCGCTATCGCCGAGCACAAAGAGTTCGCGCAAATAAACCAATGAATATTGTATGCCCATTTATCGCTTCCGGATGTTTTCAGCGCGCGATGTTTTCAACGTCCGGCGTATCTGGACAGATTCAGAAATGATATCGCTCGAGATTATAATGTTATCAGTCCCGCCTATGCTATTAACAATAATAAACAAGCAATTAATAACGTACCCCGTTTTATCAATAATATTTATCAAACGCGAGGATCGCCGCGTTTTCGCCGGGGGAGGCGGAAAGTCGCGCGGAGAATCGGAAATCGGTTAAGAAGCGGCCGGATCGAAATCCGATATTGGGAATGAAGACAGCGCGAGCGAGCGACCGTTTGCGTAAAGGGATCGCACGATATTGGCACCGATATCCCGGTATCGGTGACCGCCACCGCAGGCCGCAACACGACGGTGCAGTCGCAGTTAATTTGCTCACTCCAAGTGTGTTTGATTCCCCTAATTAATTGATCGGTAGGGTCACCGTGTGCCAGCGCATATACGGATGGCAGTAATCAAGCGCGTGGCCCTCGTTCCACCAAGAGTACGCGCCTATGTATTTGCGCTCTATTTGACACAACTACCGTCTGCGTCCGCGGATCTCTTCGCGCGCCAGAGTTTCGAATCGACGTCTGCCAACCATCGCGGGGAAACAAGTTTTGCCGGGACGGCAAATTGTTTCTTGACTGTTTGTGACAGCGGAAAGATTTGTTACACGGAAAAAGTCATTTTGCTGTCGGTGCTACGATGATCAAATTTAGCCGGCGTAACCAAATTGTTTTGCTTTCGTCCATATATCCGGCAAATAGCGATTAATATTCTTAACAAATCTTTCTGCTGTCTGAACAAATTTTGTCCTGCTGTCACTATATCGATGGATATTTGCCGTTCCAGCAAAATCTCTTTTCCCCGTGATGATTAGCTAAGAAAAGGATGCAACATTTTTTCCGTAATTTTCGGAACGCATCTCGTCTAATCAGTGGGAGAATTTGTTCCTCGGTAATTCTCGAGAGGTACATTTCCAATATTGGATTCTCGAGAGATGCGTGACTCGTCGGAAAAATAAGGTTGCAAACTTTTCGTGTTTAACAAGAACGATGGGAATCCCGCGATTGCATATCCTCGGCGCAATTCTCTCCTCTTTAATTGGCTCTCCCCCTTTCCGCGTGAAATCGTAAAAATTATTCACCCAATTCTAACGCGCGGGGTGAAAGATCAACCGATGGCAAAACACTGTGCCGTGCGCGGGGGGATTTATCGCACTTACATCCTCGACGCGACATCGCAATCGTCGTGTTTCTCTTGACATTTCAGTCGGTTCTTTCTTTCGTGGCAAACTCGTAGAAATGATTATTCTTCACCGTGTGCCAATGCGCATGGGTGAAAGACCGTCCGGCGTGAAATACTGCGTTGAGTAAAGAAACTTACCGAGGTGTCCGTTCTCGTAATAATCGCCGTTGTCCATTCTGTGCTTCTTCAGGGAGTGCTGAGGATGGTGACCAGCCGCGGCGGCTAGGTGGCTGGCTGCGAGGCTCAGTCCAACGGAAGCGCGCTTTGGGGGTCTTCCTGGCCTGGAGCTGTACAGTGGTAGAGAGTTACTGTGGTTAGAGACACCTGTCATCGAGGTAACGTCTTACCCCGATCGTCGTGGTCACGACATTCGTCGCGACCGATTATCTGCTGGAATTTCGGGAGGAAATATCAGCCTCGTCGTGCGTACGAAAACGAGTTTCGCGATTCGTTCGCGCGATAGCGATCCGGCCGGCTGATCGGGCGAGAAAGATCGAGGAGTTTGGAAATGCGAACTGTCGATGGTAAACTGCAAGTACCGCGAGTAATTGCAATCGACGCTGTCGATGCGAACGTAATAGAAAGAAAGGGGGAGGGAAGAAGAAAGTGGGAACCGTCGCGAGGACTGGCCGCTGATATTTCCTCCGGGAATGCGTCTTATTTGTGAGACGCCTCGAGTGGATCTCGAGTTCAGATTTCGAGATTACTTGAGAGAACTCGGGAGGAAAGGAATCTCCGGAGGAGCCGCGCCGCCGCGCGAACCATTAAAGGAACACCCGGCTCACTAACCGAGGAACCAATTTGGTAACCTTAATGGCTAATCTACGTAGATCGTGCGAACGTTTCGAGAGCGGACTCTTACGTGACTAAGGGTAAATGAAAATCGCCCGGGAAAATAGCGCGCGGCTTCCACCGAGCGGAGGATTTGCCAACGTTAGACGCGTCGCTTATCATTACTCTTGAAATGTACACAACGTAAAGTAAAATCGCGCATAACCAATTTGATTGTCAGAAGCCTAAGATCCGGCAGAAGTCTCGATAAACCTCGAGATGCTCAAACGTATCTTTCATATCGCAAAGAAAATTATGCGCGAATCACTCGAACGTCCTCGGCGAAAACATAACCGCGTAATTTTTCTCGAATTTTCCCAACCGACTCGGCGATGTTGCTGTACGCCATAGTTTTTCGAAAGACCGCACGAGCTCTGCACCGGCTACTCTTTCTCGAGAGACTCGCGATTTAGAATCACCCGGTTCTGAGTGGCCGGCGTTTTCTTTTGATGAGCGTCACTGGCACCTTTCGAGCTTTGTCGGCGGCGAACCAGACGAGGAAGATCTCCGTTGAAACAATCTGTACGATAGTGGCGATGATACTGGCGCGGGAGGGAAGTTCATTTTTCATAGGCGGCAGGCGCCAGAGAGGCGCTTACACGCACACCCACGCGCGACACCACGCGTGAAATACATGCGTACAGTACGTACACGAGCCCGCCTTTTCCTTTAAGCGAGGAAACATCCCGGATTCGTTGTGTTATCGGCGCGGGTCCTTTCTTTACTCCCGATATACCACCTAACTGTCCGCGGATGTTCTCAACCTTCCCCGATCGCCGATTTCACGTTTTCATCCAGCCCGAGGAAGTCCGGAGCATTCAGCTCGATCACTCTCGATCGGAGCGCGCCTTTCCAGAGACTCGACAACATCGTTCTCTTGATTAAGCTTATGTATGCTATACACGAGCGCGCGCGCACCGCAATATTTCCCGAGTAGGATCGTTGGAGCGTAACGAGACGGCGGCGGTGGCTGAGCACCGCTAACCGGTAAGCGAGCAATCTCATAGTAGTCAAGACAGATTTGTAAATCTAATTTTTCATCCCGTCTTTCTGCCTGCCCTCTCTCACTTCGCCTCTTCGTTGCCCGGAATCTTCCTCTCCCCTCCCCACTCACTCACTCCCTCATTCTCTCTCTGTCCCTCCGACGTTCTTTTTCGCCTTGCTACTTGTCTCTCGCTCTATCCCTTTTTCACTGCCGCCTCTCACGCACGGGATCCCCAGACGATTCTCAGACGGCCGGTTTATACCGGCGTTGATCTCTTAAACCGCTTAGCTTCAGGTTACACCGAAAACACGAGCGCACTTTCTGAGCGCTTAGATCCGCATAATGCGCATTTGTTTGCGTACCGCGCGATATCAGCGAAATAAGAAAAGGGCGCCGCGACGCGCCGCGTCGCAAATTAGTGTCTCGGGTGCGCCCGTCACTTCCGAGCGAGCGGTGACGCGTGACGATTATTTCGCACTTGTCGCATCGCACCTGTTTCGATCGATAATTCGCACGAGTTTATGTTTGCGGGCGAACGAAGCCGCCTCGCGCGCGCGACGTCCGATTGTTTCTCTTCACGAGCTCCCTCAGCTCGCGAAGGAGTCAGATATTTACGTAATATCTCCAGCATTACGTGACTAGTGGCGAAACAATGGCGGGGCAACGACAAACGGGCGTGGACCGTAGTTGGCCAAGGGATCAAGAGATCGCTAATAATCGCGCGTTGCGACAACCGCGCGCGCGCGCTACCGATTCGGGCCGGATTGATCTTTTATATCGTGGGTATTAATCTGTCTTCCGGGGCGAACGGGGATCAAACGTTTTACCAACACCGCATCGTTCGTGATCGCTCTGCCGGTGATAGATGATTTCTCTGGCGTGAGTTAACCCTACCAGTAACATATCAGGCCTTACGGGGGGCTATATGCATGTTTTCTTTCTGTGCGCATGTGAACAAGAGTCTCTTGTGAGCGTAAAGTTCAATTCAAAATAACACAACGGCGCATTAACTATAAGACAATGATTCTTCAATTTGCTGCTTCCTTGAAAGGGCACAACACACGCGTGAGAGTTCCGCGACGCACTCACTCTCAGAAACGTTAACAAGAATTGAAAGTGTGAACGCAAATTCAATAACACTCGGTAAACTTTGCAAATACCGCGCGCAGTTATTGTAAAGAAGTATTTCAATGGATAAATTGCGATTGACGACGAGCAATCGACAACGCGTAGCACGAATCACGTCCTGTCACAAGCTATGCAGAAACGTACTGAATCGGCTTCAGAAGCTCCCGAGGATGTTTCGCTTTCTTTTTTAATCTCGCGTTTCTAAGGCACGAAAATACCAATACAATAAAAGGGAAATAACGCGCGTGCCTAGCGACAACCGGCACGATGTTGTCAGCTAATCGCAGACAATCGCCTCTCGCAACAATATATCGCACGTATCACGGGTGTACCGTGTGGCTCGCAACACTTTCGCTTACCCCCTCTTCCACTGTTTCGCGCAAGACGTACTCATTCCTATTTCTCTGTTAAACAGAAAAAAGTTGGCTCCACGTAAACACTGCTGTTATCAGTCCGATCTATTGAAGTAACTGGTTTTTCTCACGGCAACCAATCTCCACAAAGACGATAAATAAAAATTGATAACGAATTTTACCCGGGAATGGTCATGTGGATGACAAGTTCATATTCTCCGTTTTATAAATTGACGTTTTCAATTTTAAAAAATCGCTTCAGACGATAATGATGTTCATTTATACGGAAATAAAAATCATAAAAGATCTAAGTGAAAACAAAAATAAAACCACCCTGGTGGAAATTTCACGCATATTTTTTAGCGCTTATCGTACGCTTTTAGCGTAATGTGAGGCCTGAGAGGCTTACGATGTTACTCCGGTGTCGAGATCGCGAGTGTTATTCTCAGAGTTAAACGGGCCACAGGTAAGAGATCTCTCGCGACGAAAACTTGTCGGGGCAACACCGGGGATGACGAACGCGCATAGCTCACCGTACGGCTTCTCCGTCCTTGTGCTCCCGGATCGTGCGCAATTATTGACGCGAGGTTTGAATTTAATACCGTTGCCGGAAGGTACCGAATAATTACACGAGAGTCGGGCGGTGGCTTCCTTCCCTCGCGAGTGTCTCCGACGTGTGCCGAGATCGGGACGATGGCGGAGTTTCAGTATTTACGAGCGCGCGGCGTATCGCACGAATTATACACACACGTAGACCGCAATTAGCGGCCTTAATCGTAACGAACGATCGAAGGCGGACGTCTCGCGAGCGTCTCTCTTTGTCGCATGATTTATACCGTTCGAACGAGTCGGACATCCGCCTCACTCGCGTTTCGCAAACGAGTCGCGGGCTCGACTCTCTCTCTCTCAACTTACAACGAACGGAGCGAAGCGGTCCGGACGGCTGGAAATTATCGCCCGACGATCGTTTTGTACGTTCGGCGAGTTCGGAGTGCGATCGACCGATTAGATTCGGCCGCGCACACTTCTATATTGTACTTGGCCGGGTTCTCAGTCGAAATTGCGTGTGGGCATTAAGAGTTGCGGATGATCGGGGCCAGGTGCTATGCCCCGATCCGTTCCCCGCCCTAATGATCGTTGCACCTCCGGTGGAGAGGAGAAGAAGCAGCGGATCGTCCGGAAAGGGACAGACGGATCGACGGCCGGATTGTGAGGAAAAGGAAGAAAGGATCGGAGAAATGCGTGCGGAGGAAGAGAGAGAGAGAGGGCAGCGCACGAAACGCGGAGAGAAGAGGTAAATAGGGGCAGGCGGGGCGAGAAGGGGGTGAACGAAAGAGAAGGACCGATCTGCGCGCGGCGGGACTCGCGGAGAGAATTACACGGCTTTCGTAAGCGATGGGGCGTTTAACGATCTATCGACTCCGAGGAGTCTTTAGCTCTTTCAACCGTTCGTTCGCTCGCTCACTCGCTCGCTCGTCCGCGCGTATCCGGTATGCAGTCGCGCCACGTGCAAGCGGCAAAAAAGCCTCGCGCAACAAAACGCGGGCCGGAGTCGATCGAATCGATCGAATCGAATTCGCGATTCGGATTGCCGGCGGGCCCGGCCGAGAGAGGAGAGACGCAGGTGGAATTGCGTTCGCGTCCTGATACGCGGTCGATTTCTCGCCGATATCCGAGCGCGAATCTCAACGAAATCCGCGAGAGATCCCCCTCCGCCGGCCGGGAGGGAAAGGGAATAGAAAAGAAGCGATCGGAACGGATGAAACGGCACCGGGGACGGATCGAGCGCGCTACGTGGAAGTGGTACTCTCGTTTTAGATCGCCGATCTGATATTAAGGCTTAAGTAGATGAGCACGTTGTGATTTATAGCGGGCACCTTAATTGTCTTAATTATGCGGCAGCCGCTTCCGTGGAAAGCTCGCGCGGCTCCGTGAGCAATTGACTTCCCCGCTATTTAACGTGAGCGTTTTCCCGCGATTCCTCCACCGG